GGCTTAGTCCGCTCGTCCTAGGCCAAGTTCTATGTGCAGTTTGTTTGGAAAGAACTTAATCAGATGAACGATATCAAAGGACTAAATTAAAATGATTGCATATAGCTAAGGTTTTATTTAATTGTTTGGGGTTGCTTGTTTAATAATCTTCCCCTGAGCAGACACAGACTGCAAATTTATCTTCTGAGGATTTCAAAAGTTCAGCGGCCAGAACAAAGCCCAAATTGCTGAAGAGGGGCAGTGACAACAGTTGGTCCCTGGACTGGTTTTTAAATTTAAACCAGTAGCTATCATCTTAAAATGTTGGAGGACGATTTAGTATTTGTCCTTAATATCAATACACTTACCTATGGCACTGACACACTCCATTCGATTTTTGGACATGATCCATTCGGGATCATCTCTCCCTAGGAAATTTCAGAAGCAGCTATAAAGAACATGCTAAAATACACATACGGTTTGGTCATATTAGACCTGTCGGGAACAGAAACAGGTTCTGTAAAGCTATCTCTGGGGCAGGGCTAGGGTTTTCATAGCCATAAAGTGCCATCCTGATGTTCACAGTGCAAACACTAAATATACTAACATCCCCGTGACTGCCGTTTGTGTCTGTGTGAAGTATCCTCCTTCCCTCTGGAGCTCAGTCCCAGCACACAGCACGCAGCTCCGCACTTCCGCAGTTTCCTGGAGCTTCCCAGACCACCTGCCTCCCACTTCCCTGTGTCCCTTTCTCTCCCTTTGCCCCATTTTTTTTCCGCACTGCCTGCGCTGGCACCATTCGTTCTTTACCTTGTGCTGTGCAGCTGCAGTGGGGTAGCAGGGAGAAGGACTAGCTGTGCTACATACCAGGGAGAAAAACCAGCAGATAATAAGATATACTCTGGCCATAATCTCCATTTTTGGGGGGCAAATCGGATTAAAAAATCAAAGTCCTTTAGGCTGCATCTGAAAACTGAGCTTTTTGTACATTAGTTGCTGAAATGGATGCTGTCCGCAGCCGATGGTGGAGTGGCTCAGCCCAGCTATGTCTGCGTAACACTTTTCTGTGACGTCATCTATTACATAGCAACAGCACGCCATGCTATTCCAGACCAGCATGCCAGATGCCAGCACAGCTTTGCTGGCAAAGCCCAATTTTGTACCGATCCCACCTCAGGAGCAGGCACAACCCAGATCTAAGTGGGAAACAGCCCAACAGCAACCCAGGAATGCGGCATGGCCGTGTCCAGCTGGGGCTAAGGGTTGGTGCTGAGGGTCCCACTATTTGAATAAATCCAAGCCATTTGAGTAAAACATGTGAAAATCCACTATTTATTGAACTCCACCACCACCACCACCCCTTTCCTTTTTCCTCTTCCTTTCTTCTCACTGCTCTACTTCTGGATGTTTGCTTCAGGAGCTGCTTCTCTCACCCTGGCCTCATCCTGTACTACACCCTGCCTCCTGCCTAGTCGCCCCTCCATCCCCTTCCCTACTTTTTTCCTCCTGTTTCTTTTTTGCCTTCCCGTGTCTCACCCTGTGTTTCAGCCTCTCTTTTCCTAAGCAAATTCCCTCACTCAGACTTTTTGGTTCCTTCTTTTTAAACCATCCCAGCTTCCACTTGTTGCCTTGATCTGTCCTGCAGCCACCAGCCCATACGAGCTCCCCTCTCTCTTCACTAACCTAGACCTCGTTTGCCCTGCCTGGTACTTCTCACACACTTGCCCTCTCCACTAATCGATGCCACGTCCACATGGCACACAGGAGGCGTCAGTGCAGGTGCCCTCAGACCATTTTAAGCACGCCGGGTCTGGCACAGAGCCAGCAGCGCGGTCCCAGGAGGACCAGGATCGGCGGTGCAGATGGCCAGCGGCAGCCCCGGCTGCTCGGGGTGGGAGCACTGTTGGCAGCAGCGCTGCAGCCCCCAGACTTCATGGCCCTCGTGGAGGTCAAGAGGAGCCAACAGTTTGAGGTGAATGAAAAAAGCAGTGTACTGGCCCCAAAATTTCAAGATGGAGCTTGCAGTTAGTCAGCTAAGCTGCACTGGTACCTCAGAGCCTCTAGTCGCTCCATGCTCCTAATATTGTAACGGCAGATAGTCCTTTATGTGTGGAAGAGTGACTTTGTTTACCAAGCTACATTACACAAGGATTTAGGCATATGTTGCTTTTATATTAATATTGTACTGTGTTTCCAGCGTATCTTTCCCTCTTCACAGCATCTCCTTTCCTCCCTAATTACAGAAGCTTTCATTAGTTCTTTTTTCTACTTACAATGGTGTAACTATGGCAAAAATAGGTTAGCTACTAGCCAAAATGTTATTTTTGTAGAAGTTATTAAAGAGAGGAATACTTAGATTTTAAAATGTTTATTTACATTCAAAATAAAGGCATCACATCTGTATAAAACATTCATTTTAGTTTCTATTTTAAAAAATCCAGATGCGGATGTTTGTGAAACTTTTTCTAGAAGCTTCTAGTCTATCAAACAAGAGATGCAAAAACATCTATGCTGAGAACACTAAACATCTTTTCTAAATCTGCAGAATTAAGGCAATGCAAAGTGTAGGCTGCTTCCCCTCCTCCGAGAATCCCTCGCAAGCCTGAGCACCCTTTCCCAGGTGTGACTTTCAAATACTGCCTGGCAATTTATGCTAAGCGGAGTGGGACCCCGAAAGCATTTACTACTCCCCAGCACAGTGGCCTTGCATCTTCATCCCCACATGGCTAGGCTGGAG